TACGGATTTTTTCTTCCGGATCGGTCCATAGGTTGTCTTAGCTCCCATATAAGGTATACTTCTGAAAATCACTTAATACCACTTAATTCGTAATTAAATGATTATATCCAGATAAAATTCAAAATGAGTATGTTCTGTGTACAGATAAATCATTATATTAAAATGTTTTCAAACTGGCCTATTAATATACATTTTTCTCTACCTAATTAAAATTAGTTTGACATATGCATAAATGTTAGTACCCTCAATAAGGAAACAAAAATTTTGCCAAGTTATCTAAAAATTAGATAGTTAAATGGGTTTCAATAAAAAGTAGCTTGCTGGTGGAGGGTATTTAAGATTCGGCATAGCCGTATATAGCACTCTAACTTGTTTCTCTTTAGAATTGGGAGGAATTTTATTTTCACAGCAAAATGGAAGATCGTTGTGACTATCATGAATTTCTACTAGATATATTAAATCAACTTCCAATATGTATCCAATATCCGAATCAGTTGGAATTGTTTTCAAAGAAAAATTATCAATATCTGTAACCCATTCAAAATTGCCCTCTGGTAAAGCTTCAGACATAGCCCAACCATATAAATTATTTGCATCCAAATATATCAAGTATTTAGATGGTAGTTTCTCATTATAATCGGAGAGATATTTATTGTTGGCTATGGAATGTCTTTCAGAACATTGAACTATTCCACCCCTAATTCCTTTTTTGTATAAATAAAATCATTTCAATGTCAATAAGCAAATCCAATTTTATGTTTGTTATTTTTAACATAGCATCCCAAGATAGCCCAGGTGCTGTATAATAATGGCATGGATCTAAATTATGTTTTTACATACTAACCTGAAATTTTCAAAGACGTCTGCTAATAATAAGACATCACACTTGTCTTACATTCAAACTTACTTACTTCTTGTGCGTGTGCATAATCTTCTTTAGAACATACTGAATCAGTTAGTTTATTATAGAAGTCATCTTTCATTCTTCGAGTTTTTCTAAAGAATTTAAATAATTGTATGGGAAGACGGCCTTTCTTATTAATAAATGAAATTTATTTTTGTCTTCTGAATAAAAACCTTTAACAATTTTTAACTCATCTACTGTCAAATTTTTAACTAAATTATCAAGTTAAGATGGCATAAACCGGCATGAGTCCAAAAATCTGATTTCAATGTTATGACCGTTGTCGCTTTTTATTGTTTTTGAAAGGGATATATACAACTCCTTATTGAGTGGGATAATATTAATGGGACCATCATTGATATTATTGATCTCTTTCACAAATAAATGGCAATCATATGTCGAAAAATTGTGAAAAATAACAGGGATAAATGAAGGTAATTTGTTTAATCCATACATAATGACACACGGTATTATCTCTAACAGTTTTCTAAAGAAATAAAAGATTGATGTGTTTGGACTTTTCCTTTATTGTTTTGTAGAATGGGCCCACAACAATGTCTTTAGCGTCATCATATCCAAATACATTTATACTTATACATGGATTATTTTCTTCAAAAATGGTTATATCCTTTATTTTTAAAGGGAAGCTTAACACATTGAAATTTAAGCAATAGTCCTTCAGGTTAATATTTTTGGACAGAATATTCACCTTATAATTTGAGGTACGGTTTGCATTTGTTTCCAAATTAACTATAGCTGAAATCACGGCCCATTTAAAACAAAAATCATCATTATTTTTGATGTTGACACAGGCATTTTTCAATAACATTTTTTTTTGGTAGGGGTATAAAGGATGAACCCTTCCGTGGTTGATACTTGTTTATATTTAGAACTTTTATTAATTGCACTAAAGTCCAACCACTGTCTCTTTCCTGAAACTCTTCCATTTTTTGTAAAAGGCTTTCAATATTATTGTTAAAGTTGGTTTCAAATTCGCTGATGTCGAACATTTCTTTCATTTTTCTTTGAAAACTTTTTACATCTAATGGGGTGCTTTCTAAGTCGTCTAAGTTGGGCTTGGCATAAAGAGCATGGAGTGTTACATTAAACTTCAAACCAATGCACAGTGAGACATTTGGCCTTTATAGAACGACAAAAATAAAAAAATAAACGCTTTCCAATTGTCTTGCTTGTTATTATGGTTAACAGTAAACATTCCATATACTATAGAAAACTAACTAAAAATATTGCAGAGTTCCTTTAACCCGAAATATAGGTGCTCAAAGTTGCTCCTCTTAAAAATAAAATAATTTTCTTATAATATTCCTGAAGCGGCATATTAATTTTGAATGCGTTTATCTGGGTAAATATTTCAGATACTTATATAGTTTCTTCAGTGTATTATAATTTAATACTTCGGAATTATTCTGCAATGATTTTTTTAGACAAAAGTACAATTTTAAAGGTTTTATTTTTAACTCTAAGAAAAAATAATATTAATAATAAAAATATATTTCAAAATTAAATTTTTAATGGAATAGATCTAATGACTGCAGCCAATTGCAGTTATCTAATTAAAATCCTTGCATAGGAAAATTTCTATAGAGACATATATATGAAAATTGGCTGCGACCTTTTGCGATCTTCAGAGATATTCAAAAAAATTAGAGTGTCCTATAGGATTTAATATATTTTTTAAAATTATGTGTAAGCTCACGTTAGGGGAATACATAAATTTTTGGCCTTGGCACCGTGTATTAGCCCACAATTACTGCTTTTAAAAAACAATTACTTAAGCCAATCAGGGGTGACAGCTTTATTTAAAAAGTAATATTTTCTGTTTATTTCCAGTGTTAAATTCATTGATTATAAATTTATTTTTTTCTTTGTAAAAACCGCGGAATTTATATATTATTTTAAATTTTAATAATAGTATAAATCTTTTGTTAATGTTCTATTCAATTATATGCAAATATTTGTACAATTTGAGAAAAATTTCTAAAAATGACAACCCTAATATTTATTAGTGATGTTATATAAAGCATGTTTGTTAAAATTATAGAAGAGCATGCACTAAACCTGCAATGCAGAGCATTTGAGACAAATCGGATAATACCAACCCGTTTCAAATAGTATATAAACGTTGAAAATGTGTTTAAATAGGAAAATGGGTTTTATTAACTTTTTCTTATATATAAATAGCAATCTAAAAATATATAAAAATTCAAAATCGATAGCAAAAGTTTTGAGATATATGCGACCAAAAATAAAATTTTTATTCAATATATACTTGTAAAAAATGGGCGTGGCAGCAGTCTTATCGTGCTGATTATTATGTGGAGCGTTTGGGCAATTGTTTCCTAACTGTAACTAAAATTAGAACTCAATATCACTAAGATTTGATTAATGTCTTTCTAAAAGTGCCAAATGTCTCACTGTGCAATGTTAAGTTTTAAAAATTTATAGACTTCATCCACAAATTCTCTCCCAGCTTCGTTCAACAATATTTCTGGTATGAGGCATTCTTCATTATTGGTAATGTAAGATAATGTGATAATTCTGTTTTTGAAAGCACTCTTCTCCCTTTTAATAAAACCATTAAATATTGATTGTTCTGCAGCAGCACTGCTTGGAGTGGGTGTATGACTTATTTTATGCATTTTTTTATTACTGGTGGTGACAAAAGTTTTTAAATAAAGCACTTTTTTTAACAATCACTATTTATAATAATAATTACTATTTCACACCAAGCGAATATTGAAGTGTGATTATTGGAGTATGGATTGATAATAAACATACACTTAGTTCTTTTTAATTCAATAACTTCTTTTAGATAGACATACATACAAACATAGCTAAAGTAAATCGAATCGATTCAGACTTTAACGTTCACCTTATTTCAATCTAAAACTCTTGCACGAACGTGCTTGAAATTGTCAAATATAGCAACAGGCGATCAACAATCTATAGATACATACAATACATACACACATGTATGTTAAATTTAATAAATATTGCCTACTCCACATTTTTTAGTTATTGTATAAATCAAATTTTCTTGATTAATTTCGTTTAAAAGAGTTTACAGGGTAATTACAAATATTTTGAATATGCAATAAATTTGGGTCAACAACCCAGCTGCATGGAACTATTAAATTCAAGGTTAAATTCAACGGAAATTAATGTTCCGTTTTTTATTTATACACCAATAATTATTCTACATTACTCATATAAAAAAAAAACTACCAAAACTATATTTATGCAAGTCATCAGTTTCTAATTTCGTCACAATTAAATGTGCAAAAAATAAAAAAAAAGGTCTCCATGCTAAAACGTATTTTTTGTATGGGCTTTTAACATAATTACATGCTATATTCTCTCAGCGAAAAATCTGTTAAATGATTCTTGAATATGGAAAAATTTATCAAAATAATTTAGTTAATATACAATGCTACAAAAATATCAATAAAATAAAATTATTCCACCTTAAATTTTTCTGTATAACATCCAAAATTAAAGTAAATTCACTTTTTTGTCGGACAAAATAAAGTGTAAATTTTATATATCATTATTTAAATATCTTGTATATCAACATTTTTTATCTATTTTGATTCTGATTTCAATATCTGGATCTTAAGACATTTTTGTATTTTATTTGCCATTATTGTTCGCAATCGCCTTCCCTTCTCCTTGCTTTTCCCCATACGATTATTTTCAAAAGAAATCCGTTTTTGTTCTCTATTTCAGCGGAATATTTGATCAATTGCGGTCAAAAATTAATCTATTGGATTTAAGACGATGCTCTGAGCAGGTCATTCCAATTTTTCAGTGTTTATTTTTCTTACAGAAATGTTTTTATCTTTGTCGTGTGTTTGAATTCATGAATCTGTTGAGGCATTAAGTCTACCAAATCCCTTTATACGGCATTTATTTAAAAATTTTTATTAAATGTCGTGAGCACCCACCATTTTGCTTACCGAGGTTTCTCGGTCCCTAATGGCCAAAATGTCGGTCCTTTTTATTTCTTTTGGCTAATGAAGAAGGTGGAGCCCGTGGCCATCGACTACGTGATAAGAAAAAAAAACTGTTTTATTGTTAAACTACAATTGAATGCATTTTTAAAACTAAAAGTTTAAAACTACAGTAAAGTAAACTTTAAATCTGAATCAAAGAAAACTTAAAACTAAATAAAATTCAAATTAAAATAAGCAACACCAAGCCACGCCATCGCCAGCTCCACTCAACGGGGGACTTTCTTCGGCAGATTAGCACCAACAATCCGGTGGTGCTTCAGGTACCAGGTTTTCGACCAGGAAAATTTACTTTTACCTCGTACGACAGGACGAACTAGACGGTTAATTCCTTTTAGGTAATTTCTATAAAAAGAAAAAACAGATATTAGTTTAGACTTTAAATATATATATATATATATATATATATATATATATATATATATATATATATATATATATATATATATATATATATATAAACGTAAACAGAAATGGATTAAAAAAAATAAAAAAATATATAGTGAAGTATAAATTATTTAAAAGGTTTTTCTTGTAAAGTTTTTATCATTTTTTTACTTACCGAAACACCGAACGAGGACAGATAACGGACAGACTGAAAACCTACGCTACCCTTCTTCCAAATGATTGCCCTGTAAACACCCGATAGTCCAGATCTCAAATATGGAGAGCTGCTAAGTTTACAATGTAAGTGATTGGGGTGAAATTATTGTGAGTGGGTAGGGATAGTTAGGGACAGCTAAAATGACTAGGTTGCTACGGTTGTAGGTTCAGACCTCTGGGAGGGAAACAACATATTGGCAACTCCATCCGCCAATAATGATTATTCTTGGCCTGAAAAGGAATAATTTAGATAAATGTTTTGGTGTATTCGTCTTATGAATGTTTGCTCACTTCGGGTCCCTTTCAATTTAAATTCTTCTGTTTTTCTTTCAACTTAAACATAATGCTGGTATTTTATAGAGTTTTTGTATCCAGGAAAAGTTGCAGTGTCGGCAAGAACCACCCCATCCGGCGAGCCTCAGCCCGGCGTAAGCCATAATACCAGCGCCGCCGACATTTGGCAACACTGACCCGCAACAGATGTTTCGGCATTTGTTTTGCTTTCAATTTTCATAATCCTGGCCAGTACAGAATGGCGCCCAACGTGGGGCCCGAAGTGAGTACGTCCATACTTGTTAGTGTTATGTTTTTGCCTAAGTAGTGTAAGTCCCGTTCACGTCAAATAAGAGTCCGTAACGCGTTGCGACATCTTCTTGGCAAAAACATATCTTTTTGTTAGCTTTATTGTTAGACTCTTAAGCATTTAGTACATTAGAAGTATGGTTAATCGCCTAATATGTAAAGCCAACAAAAAGTTTCATTAAATTCCATAGCCCAAGTAAATTTCATTTATTATTTTCTACTTGTATTTACGATGTATAAGTCTTATATCTATTAAATTCTCAGGGGGATTAGATATAATAGCCATACATTCTTAAATCCAAGTACATATAAAATTTCTAATCCCAGAGTCTTAATTAGTTTTATGTTAAGTGGCTGATTTAACTGCTCAAGGGAGAAGAAAAGTAAAATTTTGTTTAAATAGTTTTGCTTACAGACTTAGGACTAGTCCTGGAAAAAGGTAAGAAAATAATATTTCAGTTTTCAGTCGCAGTACTTAAGTTTGTCCATATAGTAAATTTCAATCTGTAAAGGCCGTTAGGAAACACCAAAGTTTACAACTAAATTATACTTAACTTTACATAGATCAAGAATAATCGACAATTGTTTTGTAAACCTACTCACTCACGCTATGATTGAACCCCAATCACTTATGTATAGAAGTTTATAATACATTTTGAAATAGTTAATATTCGAAGATAGTTCGGTATTAGTGTGAATTCCGTTAGTACTGGAAATCTTTTGTTTTTATTAATCGCTGTGGTTATTATTTGGCATATTATTTTTTTTTTATTTTTTTGAATTTTCGTTATAAATATTTTTTGTTGTTATCTTCGGCGGTAGTTCAAAGAAAGGTAATAATTTGTCACGTTTTTTCTAATAATTTGAATTTTCGTTGAGTTTTTGGTGGATTATGGTTGTAACTCGTTCCGGTAGTAGAATTTCAAGTAATTTACCAACCAGCAGCAACATGGCAACTACTGAAGCAGGTGTAACTCGTACTACAGACGCTCTCACTGCAGGTGGGCCTACCACAACAGCCACGTCAACAGCACCAGTATTGCCTCACGAGGTCTCTATTAGTTCAGACGACTCGAATTCCACGATTAGGTCGCCAGAATACAGTAGCCTTACAGCTCAAAACGTTCGCCGCGAAGTCCGAGAGAGTCTGGCCAACCAGCGGAATCAAAGTGCCAACATACAGGAAGTGGTCAACGCTTCTATCGGTCTTTCCCAGGCGCAATTTATGAGGCAAGTAGATAATAAAATCAACGATGCTTTAATGGAAATTAAGCGGGCATTGGGTATAAACCACCAGCAACAACACGATGTCGCAGCAAGTTTAGATCCGACGGTGCCATTGCAGGTGGCTCAGGGTGGAGGTCCGGAATTCTTAACCGGCGCAGTGACACAAACAAACCCATTACCTCCAGTGACTAGGAGTCTAGTGGCACCTGTGGTGTCGCAAGTATCATATCCTCACGGTAATATGGGCGGAAGAGAAGTGACAGCCGTCATGTATACCCAAACACAGCCAGCTATAGCTCAGGGGCCTTGGTCAAATCCACCGCCACCTTTATTTCCAGCACCATATTATATGGCTAATGATATACAGCGGAGGAATCAGACAGATTTCCCAGAGCCTAATCTTAACCAGACCAGATATTTTGAACAACAGCCAATGAATCAGACTCCGATCAATACCCCGAGGGTTGGTCAACAACAAGCCTACACCCAACAACAACAAGCCTACAACCATCAACAGCAAGGTTACAACCAACAACAACAACAAGGGTATAGCTATCATCAACCACCACTACAACAGCAAAATAGCTTTGGACTAGCTCCTAATTATGCTTGGCCAGTGTCAATTGGTATGGAAAATCATCAGCGAATGAATTTGTCTAAGTGGGGTATGAGATTTGATGGAACCAGTAAGTCCATGAATGCTCAAGAGTTTATTTTTCGAGTAAACGAGCTGAAAAAAGATTACAACTGCTCGGACATGGATATTTTACGCCATTTCCATAACTTACTGGAAGGACCAGCTTTAGACTGGTATTGGAACCATCGCAAATTGGCGCAAATTAACTCTTGGCGGGACCTGGAAAGTGCTATCTTGTCCCAATATCAGCGTTTTGAGAATGAGTTTCAGGTACAAATGCAAATACTCAATCGCCGCCAGTTACCTCATGAGTCATTTGAAGAGTTTTATAATGTCATACTTAAGCTACGCCATCAGCAAAAAGTCCCGTATGATGAGAGATCGTTAATTGATATCATTAGGGGTAACCTTAAGCCAGCTTTGGCCCAGTTGATGTTTCCCATTCGAATAAACAGTTTAACCGAGTTTTGTCACGAGGTCAAGAGGGCAGAGAACTTGTTGGCTAACCAGAGGCAAAGTTATCAACAGCGTCCTAGTTTCACAAGGGTAAATGAGATTGAGATTACACCTTAACCGGCGCAGTGACACAAACAAACCCATTACCTCCAGTGACTAGGAGTCTAGTGGCACCTGTGGTGTCGCAAGTATCATATCCTCACGGTAATATGGGCGGAAGAGAAGTGACAGCCGTCATGTATACCCAAACACAGCCAGCTATAGCTCAGGGGCCTTGGTCAAATCCACCGCCACCTTTATTTCCAGCACCATATTATATGGCTAATGATATACAGCGGAGGAATCAGACAGATTTCCCAGAGCCTAATCTTAACCAGACCAGATATTTTGAACAACAGCCAATGAATCAGACTCCGATCAATACCCCGAGGGTTGGTCAACAACAAGCCTACACCCAACAACAACAAGCCTACAACCATCAACAGCAATGTTACAACCAACAACAACAACAAGGGTATAGCTATCATCAACCACCACTACAACAGCAAAATAGCTTTGGACTAGCTCCTAATTATGCTTGGCCAGTGTCAATTGGTATGGAAAATCATCAGCGAATGAATTTGTCTAAGTGGGGTATGAGATTTGATGGAACCAGTAAGTCCATGAATGCTCAAGAGTTTATTTTTCGAGTAAACGAGCTGAAAAAAGATTACAACTGCTCGGACATGGATATTTTACGCCATTTCCATAACTTACTGGAAGGACCAGCTTTAGACTGGTATTGGAACCATCGCAAATTGGCGCAAATTAACTCTTGGCGGGACCTGGAAAGTGCTATCTTGTCCCAATATCAGCGTTTTGAGAATGAGTTTCAGGTACAAATGCAAATACTCAATCGCCGCCAGTTACCTCATGAGTCATTTGAAGAGTTTTATAATGTCATACTTAAGCTACGCCATCAGCAAAAAGTCCCGTATGATGAGAGATCGTTAATTGATATCATTAGGGGTAACCTTAAGCCAGCTTTGGCCCAGTTGATGTTTCCCATTCGAATAAACAGTTTAACCGAGTTTTGTCACGAGGTCAAGAGGGCAGAGAACTTGTTGGCTAACCAGAGGCAAAGTTATCAACAGCGTCCTAGTTTCACAAGGGTAAATGAGATTGAGATTACACCAGAAGAAAAAGATGTGGTGCCTATTCTGGAAGTGGACGCAATGCGGAACACGAGTAAATACACCTGATGGAACTGCAAGATGGTTGGTCACGGTTTTTTTGATTGTCCTTCGCCCACGCGTAGAATTTTCTGTTTTAAATGTGGAATGGACAATGTAGTTACACCGAAGTGTCCTAGATGTCAGAGAAACCGGTCCCGGAACCCGTCTCGAACTGGGGAGGCGAGGTCAACGGAAGTTTAGGCCCAGTTAGTCAAAGATCTGCGGCAACGAGTGAAGAGAGAGAGCAAGATAAAATTTTGAAAAGGGTTGAAGCAAAAGTAGAGGCAAGTCCTGAGCCTCGGCTCAGAGAGATAAAACCTTTACATATTAGGGTGCAAGAATATAATCAGGCAAGATCGAGAATTTTCGGTAACGTTTCGAGTAGGATAAAGAAAGCACGCGAAAGGTATAAGCGAAAAAAAGTCTTAGGCGGGAAATTTCGGCCGCGTCGTTAATAGAGGGTGATGATTCGCGTTTTTATACTAGGATTTCTATAAATGGACAGGAAATCGAGGGATTGTTGGACAGCGTAATTGTATGAGTTTCATACAGAAGACCGGTCTAACCATCCACGATTTTCATACCAATATAAAAACGGCGGATGGAACAGAACACCCTATAGTCGGTCGTGTGAAAGTCAACGTTGTGTTTCGTGGTATGTCACATGATATCAATTTCTATTTAGTCCCTACTCTGAGTCGCGAGTTATTCTTGGGAGTCGATTTCATGAAGGCTTTTAATTTGTTCGCAAATATAGGAAGTCTCACGACGAATGGTATTAATCTTTGCGAAGATGAAGAAGAGACCCAAGATATTAAAACTCACAAGTTGGATGATGAACAGCGACAAAGATTGGATTTGGTAATTGCTATGTTCCCCTGCTATACTAAGAAGGGCCCTGGTAAAACGCATTTAGAAACGCATGCAATAGACACCCGTGATGCAATTCCAGTGAAAGATAGATATTACCCTGTATCCCCGGCGGTGCAAAAGTTAATGTATGCGGAGTTGGACAGGATGCTGGACTTAGGTGTTATTGAGCTTAGCGAAAGTCCATGGAGTCACCCGGTTACTCTCGTACGAAGGGGCGAGAAGAATCGGTGTTTACGCGCGTAAACACAATGCGCTGACAGTCAAGGATGCATATCCATTGCCGCACATTGAAGGTTTGCTCAGTCGATTGGGAGATACAATCTATATTTCGAGTGTCGACCTAAAAGACGCGTTCTGGCAGATACCACTAGAGTCATCTAGTAGGGAAAAAACTGCTTTTACGGTACCTGGACGACCACTTTATCAATTTACGGTCATGCCTTTTGGGTTGTGTAATGCAGCTCAAAGGTTATGTCGGTTAATGGATAAAGTGATGCCCGCGGCACTTCGTGAAAGAGTTTTCGTGTACTTAGATGATCTATTGATAGTATCTCCAGAATTCGAGACACATCTGGAATTGTTGAAGCGGGTATCTATTTGTCTAGCAGAGGCAGGTTTGACCATCAATGTTGCTAAATCCAAGTTTTGTTTTAAGGAGTTAAAATATCTTGGGTATATTGTTGGTGGCGGCAAATTAAAACCGGACCCGGCCAAAGTGGAAACGATTACTCGTTTTGTATACCATAAGACAGCAAGAGAGGTGAGGAGCTTCATGGGAGCAACAGGCTGGTATAGAAAATTTATACCAGACTATGCTACCATTGCGGTCCCAATCTTTGAAACGCTGAAGAAGGGTAAACAATTCAAGTTTACCGAAAAAGCTAAGGTTGCTTTTGATCGCCTCAAGAAAGCTCTGACTACGAGCCCACTTCTTAATCACCCAGACTTCTCCAAGCGTTTCTATGTTCAGTGTGACGCATCAGACTTAGGCATTGGAGCGGTTCTTTTTCAGAAAGATGATTCTGAGGGAGAGCACCCAATAGCCTATTTCTCGCATAAGCTGACCCCAGCGCAGAAAAATTATTCAGTCACTGAACGTGAATGTTTGGCAGTTGTCTTGGCGATTAAGAAGTTTAGGGCCTATATAGAATTGATGCCATTTACAGGAGTAAATTTACAGGCGTACGATTTCGAAATTGAACATAGGCAGGGGAAGGAAAATGTAGTACCCGATACCCTATCGCGTTATGATATGGACGAAATCTCACTAAAAGTATCTAAACTTGTAGATTTGAAGTCGGAAGCATTTCAGTCGGAAGATTACCTAAGCTTAATTGATACGGTCGAGAAGAATTCGGAGCAATTACCCGATTTGAAAGTGGTCGACGGTTTTGTCTACAAACGGACCAGGCATTATGACGGTGTAGCCATTAGTGAAGATTTCGCGTGGAAGTTGTGGGTACCTTCAGAGTTAACCCAAAATATAATTAATGAGTGTCATAATTCCCCACAAGCCAAATCAAAATGTTCAGACAAGAAATTTTGTGTTAAACTGCCAAATTTGTAAAGAATCGAAACCCGCGAATTCTACGCTCAGACCACCAATGGGTTCCGAAGTACAGTCAGAACGACCTTTCCAACGCATTTTTATAGACTTTCTTGGTCCGTACCCATGGTCGAAAAACGGAAACGTTTATATTTTTATCGTTTTAGATCATTTAACTAAGTTTGTTTTTTTGAAGGCCTTGCCTAAAGCCAGCACCAAGAATGTGGTAAAGTTTCTAATTGCTGAAGTTTTCCATAAATTTGGAACACCAGAAACTATCGTTTCTGATAATGGAAAACAATTTGTTAGCAAAGAGTTTGCCGACATGATTAGTAGTTTTGGGGTTAAACATGTTCGGACTGCAACCCACTCACCGCAAGCTAATGCGTCCGAGCGCGTCAAACAGTCCATATACGAGGTCGAGGATGTTCAGGGGAAATCGTTAGGGGTTTTTCACGCCAAAGATTTGAAGCAATAGCTTCAATATCTTTGGTGGTTCTAGTCCTAACATTTCTTCCTGAATATCTACCGGTTGACAGCGTCTAGTAGTCGTCCAATTTGTACCTAATGGTGTACCTATCTTTAAGTCTGTATTGTCGAGTCTTTATATTAATCTTAGTCTTTTCTTTATTGGCAGGGAATTTCTGTTTGGCATAGCTGTTGATATATCCTAAGCAGTACTGAGTTCTGTACATATCTTTCATTTATATCGTAGTCCAGTGAGATCCATAGCTACTTTGGAATGAGTAATTATTTGTTGGATCGACTTAAAGCCAACGTTTCTTAGCTGGTTACATGTGTAACCGGTCATTACCCTATTAGTAGGTGCAACCCCATCAAAGCCTTCTGGTACCGTGCCATCAAAAGCGTAAGGGTTATTAGTCACCTAGGGTAATAACACAATTCTGAGTCTGATCTTACAGCGAGCCGATACCAAAGTAAACAATTGGGACAATACAAGTTGGAAGATCAACATGTAGTTGTTCACTCCGTAAGCAGATTGTCACTAGCTGGGAAATAAATGATCGATAGTACAGATACGTCAGTTTTGGTTGGGATATAGTCCGTAACTATTCTAAACACAATTCTTTTGAGTTCAGTGGCAATAACAAGGAGTTTAGGACCTTGTTTCATAATTTTCTAAACTTTGTCTTGTTATTACCACCGAATTCTGCGCTAATATTGGAAATTAACCTATGAAGTCCGACTTAAACTAGCTGTCTAACTACCTTGACTTATATTCTAATATATATCTAGTATACATATATAAAAAATATTTTTATTTACTTTACACTCACTCGGATTGTCTGCTTCATCGCCTCATTTGTCTCTCACGATCTTGTTGTTGTAATCTGAAATAAAATCGAAAGACTTTAGTATACATTCAAGTGGTAAATAATTTTAGTTATTTCATTTTAAATACATAGTCGCCAATTCCATGAATTTCTCCGATTTTTTTTTTTTGCATTTCAGTGGTGTTTTCTTCCCTTCGGTTCGTCCTTCTCAAGGGCACTTGAATTCCAAGAACCTGTAGGGAAAAGAAACATTAGTTTTTGTATTATTTAAAGTAATAATAAAATTTTCTAAAAGAATTATATTTATGAATTGCTTTATAAAATTTCTGTTAGGATTTTCTTTTAGAAAGTTTTATTTTCAAACAACCCTAGGGTTGAACTAATAGCTTGTTTTTTTTGTTAGGTGAAAAGGTCAAGGGGCACTTCTCGCCAAAGAATTTTGGTGGTTTTGGTCCTTGTCATTTTCACCTATCTTTATCAGAAGACTTACCTGAGTCATCATTAAGGTCCAGGTCTTTTACTTCCGTTTTCCCAAAGGTTGGATGGATAATCTGTAAAAGGAAGCATTAGTAATTTAGTTTTTATTGTTGAATGTAATTACAAGGGGTATTTCCCGCCAAAGTCTCTAGAGTTTACTCTATGAGCTTTGGTGGACTTAGTCCTTGTATTACAAGGAATAGGATGTAACACTGTAATTAATATAATATTTTTTTTTTTTAACTTACGATTCCTTAACGGAAGCAAAGGCCTGTTGGAAGTTTAAGGTCCTTTTGAATTTTAATCCGAAAATATAGTAAATTAAAATAGAATTAGTAAAATTATAAAAAAAGGAATCACAAAAAAAATATGAAAAGAATTAAATAAAAATCTAAAAAAATAAATTTAGAAAAAATACATAGAAACTTTTATAAAAAAATTGGAAGAAAAGAAAATTTTTGTAAAAGAATTGGAAAAAAAACTGAATTATTTTTTTTTTTTTTTTAATTTTAGTTTTTTTACTGTAACTAAAATTTCACTGAAACTTTTATCTGCCACTGTATTTTCCAAAAGTTAGTTTCTACTACATTTCATTTCACCACACACTAGGAATTGTTTACTTAACACCATAGAATAATTTTTTGATTTTGTCACACCACTTTTGTCACACACTGTATTAATTTTTTTATTTTCCACCGGCTTAATTTTTTTTAGTCACTTCAGTTTTCAGCATCACTTTATTTTATTTACTTTTATTTTTTTAACACCGTACACTTTTGCTAGTCACTGTAATTTCCATTTAATTTTTTTTCGTTTGGCACCGTAAATTTTTCATTTGCACAATAATTTATTTTTATTCTCACTTTAAGTTTATTTTCACTTTATAATTTTTTTTTATACCACTTTTGTTTCACACTGTAAATTCCACTTTTGATTTTTATATACAGCCTTAATAGCAACAGTTTAAATTTATTTTTGTTAATACATAGTATTCTTTTAATTTTTTTTACACTTTAATTTTCGTCACAACATTTTTGGTCCGCACTGTAGTTTCTTAAAAATTTCTTATATTTAATTTTTTTTATCGACCGGCAAAATATTTTTTTCACTTTAATTTATTAATTATTTTTTTTTACATTCTGAGTCCGTCCGCGCACTTTTGGCACTCACTGTATTTTCTAATTTTTATTTTTTTTAATCCCTAACAACACTTTACATTCACTGTAAAACACTTTCATTTTAATTAATTAAATTTTGTTGGACACACACTTTTTACACTCACTGTAATTTCCAAAATTCCTAACATCACTTTTATCTTAATCAATACACTTTTATTTAAAATCTACGCACTTAAAATTCATTTTCACTTACCTTATTGTTGTCCAACATGAAAAATTACTCCACACACGCAATTGATAACGGTAGCCACATTCCTGAAAGAAAAAACAAAAAAAAATGCATTACAATTTTGACCTTCAATGAATTAAATAAATTTTTACTTACCATAATTCCACCAAAATCTCCAGCATCCTCCATCTTTTTCTGAAAAGAAGGAAGGGGAGGAGAGAGAATGCCGAAAATATGCATTTATTAATATTTTTCAATGGCGGTGGTCAACAAGGGTAAGTATTTGTTAATGAAATTTTTATTTTTGTATTTATTTATTTTTATTTAAAAATTTTAATAAAAATTTATAGCAAAATATTAATTTAATTAAATTTAATTGAATGCATTAAATTTAATTAAATTAATATTTTGCTATAAATTTTTATTAAAATTTTTAAATAAAAATAAATAAATTCAAAAATAAAAATTTCATTAACAAATACTTACCCTTGTTGACCACCGCCATTGAAAAATTTAATTAAATTAATATTTTGCTATAAATTTTTATTAAAATTTTTAAATAAAAATAAATAAATTCAAAAATAAAAATTTCATTAACAAATACTTACCCTTGTTGACCACCGCCATTGAAAAATATTAATAAATGCGTATTTTCGGCATTCTCTCTCCTCCCCTTCCAATTCATTCAAACAGCTGGTAGTAAATGCAGAGTCCGTCTGCGCGTGAGCAATTTTTGATGGCGACACAGAGTCGCACTTTTGTTCATGACTGAGTAAGGGTTGCCATAGGGATTTTTTATGTTGGGTATAGAAAAATACCCACGATCCCAAAAAAAAAAAATCTTTAAAATTAGGGAAGTTCATAATTTCAGGGCGCAAATTTTTCCACCCCATTCTGTATCCATAAATGGATTACAGAATGGTACGGTTTGTCGTGTGCACCCTGTAGTAGGGCAAAATTTAAAGAAAATAAAAGAAGAAGAGTAAATGGGAAGTTGGCAACGCGGTGATAAACAATTTGACATCTGGAATAACATAAACAAAACTAAGCTAGAAAAAAGAAAAACTATAGGGACTAATAGCTGAAATGAAATTAAATTAAAGGGAACCATTTTGCTTACCGAGGTTTCTCGGTCCCTAATGGCCAAAATGTCGGTCCTTTTTATTTCATTTGGCTAATGAAGAAGGTGGAGCCCGTGGCCATCGACTACGTGATAAGAAAAAAAAATGTTTTATTGTTAAACTATTTAATTTTTATTAAAAAAAAAAACAATTGAATGCATTTTTAAAACTAAAAGTTTAAAACTACAGTAAAGTAAACTTTAAATCTGAATCAAAGAAAACTTAAAACTAAATAAAATTCAAATTAAAATAAGCAACACCAAGCCACGCCATCGCCAGCTCCACTCAACGGGGGACTTTCTTCGGCAGATTAGCACCAACAATCCGGTGGTGCTTCAGGTACCAGGTTTTCGACCAGGAAAATTTACTTTTACCTCGTACGACAGGACGAACTAGACGGTTAATTCCTTTTAGGTAATTTCTATAAAAAGAAAAAAAGTAAAAAAAAAACAGATATATATATATATATATATAGGTATGAATTAATGAAATAAAAAAAACGTAAACAGAAATGGATCAAAAAAAAAAAATATATAGTGAAGTATAAATTATTTAAAAGGTTTTTCTTGTAAAGTTTTTATAATTTTTTTATTTACCGAAACACCGAACGAGGACAGATAACGGACAGACTGAAAACCTACGCTACCCTTCTTCCAAATGATTGCCCTGTAAACACCCGATAGTCCAGATCTCAAATATAGAGAGCTGCAAAGTTTACAAGGTAAGTGATTGGGGTGAAATTATTGTGAGTGGGTAGGGATAGTTAGGGGCAGCTAAAATAACTAGGTTGCTACGGTTGTAGGTTCAGACCTCTGGGAGGGAAGCAACAGTGAACACTATGTGGGCATATTACAGTCAAATCTTAAGATCAGTGCCTTGGGAAACTTTATATCTCGGCAAGATAATTAGCTTAAGCACTTGAAAAAGTTAAAAAATAACATTACTATAGGAAAGAATACTGAAAAATTGGAATAAGTTGCTCAGAGCACCGCCCTAAATCCAATAGATTAATTTTGGACCACAATTGATCAAAAAATTCCGATGAAATAGTGATCAAAAACGGATTTCTTTTGAAAATAATCATGTGTGGAAAGCAAGGGGAAGGTAAGGCGATTCCGAAAAACAATGGGGAAAAAATTACCAAAATGGCTCAAGTAGATCCTGATATTCAAACCAGAACCGAAAAAATAAAAAATTTTGATATACAAGAAATTTAAATAATGATATTTAAAATTTACACTTTATTTTGTCCGACAAAAAAATTAATTTACTTTAATTTTAGATGTTATACAGAAAAATTTTAAGTAAAATAATTTAGTTTTATTGTTATTTTTGTAGAATTGTATATTAACTAAATGATTTTGAAAAAAATTTTCCATATTCACGAATCATTTAACCGATTTTTCGCTGAAAGAATATAGCATGAGCACTTTTGCACTTTATTTTGTCCGATAGTGTATGTAGTATTATTATACATTCTCAATTTTCAGTAAAAAAAATAATTTCTTCCCTTCTGCAAATTCACAATTTTATAAAAAATATTTACAAAAAATAATTTCTTCCCTTCTGCAAGTTCACAATTTTATAAAAAAAAAAAATTACATCCTCAAATTTCATAAAAATATTTTCTTCTTCATTGAAAACAAAAACAACTATTGCTTTCCCATTTCATTTTCTTCTTCATTGAAAACAAAAACAATTATTGCCTTCCCATTTCATCCAAATATATTTAATTTAAAAAAAAACAAGTAAGAGTGCTATATTCGGCTGTGCCGAATCTTATATACCCTTCACCACAGTGTATTTAAAAATATCAATTCTATAAAATTTTAATTTATTTAATTTTCCCGTTTATATCATAATAATGATATAAACGCAATAGCAAAACGAACAACAACAACGCTAAACGAAATAAACACACAAAAAACAAAATACACAAGGCAGTAAAACCAACAGACATCCAAACATACGAAACGAAATACACAAAAAACAAAAACAAAATAGACAACGCAATGAAACCAACAGACATCCAAACATACGAAACTGAATACTAGACATCTGCACTAGTGCGTTAAAAATGACTTACAAGTCACTCGTTTATTTTACGAATACTGTCTGTAGTGCGGCCGAAGTTAAAAAAGCAGTTGATCATCCACACACAACAATAAAAGTGTAAAAGCAAATAAATACAAAAAAAAATAGAGACAATAGAGTTAAAGTGAAAAACCAATCGGAATAATGTATGATCTGTTTCGAAATGTTTCGAGACAACTTATGAGTGATTTTATAGATTTAGTGTTAATTTAAACAAAACGCTTTGTTACAAGAATAAAATACAATTAGTAGAATTTAGAGTTTACTTTTAATCGACAAAACGCAAATAATCAATGGGTGTAAAATATTTTTTAAATTTTTTCACTCATATGCATTCCATAATTTGTAATAAATTGTAATTTCTGAAACAAAGCGACATCAACATGCTTTGTTGAATGCTTTGAAACAACTAAATAAAATTGTTGTATTTTTTACGCCCTTGTTAAGAGGTTTGTTTACGATCGTGTTGTGCACATGTAAATTGCCGAA